GAAATTGTGGATTTGATTCATGGCTTTCAACCTGATACTGGAATCTGAAATTCAGTAAAGGAGCTGAAGTACCTGAGTAAAACATATTCTGGTGAAACTAAATAGAAACACTTTTCTGGTGAAAATTGTGAACCAATAGTATGTAGTTGGCATATAATAATATATAACTTAGGAAATTTTTTTGCTTATTTTTCTATGTAATGTTCATCCTTAAGTGCTTACCAGTAGTTTTTTCCATTCATTCTTCAATAAATATGAAAGCAGCCAAAGGAAATGCATAATCACCAAGTCATAATGAGACAGCATTTGTAAAAGAATTATAACATCCTGAGGACTAGCAGTTTCTGTTCAGTTTGGTCCAGGAGTAGAAGGAAGAGGAAGAGAAGGATCACAGAAGTTCATATTTACATGTTGTGACTTGAAAATGAGAAAGAAACTTTGAAGCTGAGGATATTGGAATAAACTTTTTTCTTCCAAGTTTGGAAGGAATTACATGGAACATTCATTGTTTAAGGGGCTCAGAATAAAATGGCAGACGAGAGAGGAAAAAGGTAACTGGATTCATCAACAACAGAGGACAGGATTCAGTGCTTTCAAAGTGTTCTTCAGTTCACTCTGCTTCTCCTTTTCCTTTCTCTGCTATCCTTGTCCTCCTTCCCCTCCCTTTGCTGGAATTTCCAGTTTAATGGAGGCTCACAAGAATGTTTTGGTGGTGATGTCTGGCTTAGCGCTGTACAGGTTTCACTTTCCTGAAAACTCTTAGGGGAGATGGATTAAATAAGTATTTTTAAAAAGACAATTCCTTTTAAAAGAGAAATCCTCCATCGTGTGACATCTTAACCTGAAAAAGAAATTTGATGTACTTCCAGTGAAGGGTATACTGTCCCTATATTGTAAAAACATAAACAAAAAATAAGTAATTTTTTAAAAAGTGATGGCATTAAATAACCAGTCCAAATGTGTTGATCCTTGACTTGTGGAACTGAAGAACAGCTGCCTAATCAGTGGGAATTTATTTCTGGTGTTATTTTCTTTGTCCTTACTCCATCCAGAAACAAATCGGACTTGGAAAGGATGGCCTGGGAGGTAGAGCCCAGTCCTGATCTGTCCTGGTTGTGGTTGCAGCTTACTTTCCTTTTACTTCGATTATCAAATTATGAAATAACCAGGCAGGAAAGTATAGAGGAAACACTATGTCCTGTTCCTTTAACCCAGAAAGCCAACAGTATTAGGACATTATCTTCCTGATAGTGGGAGGGAAATGTAAAGAATACAAGAGTCCCCAGCTTAATGACTGGCATCGGTAAGGAATCCATATTTCATTTTCAGAGATCTATAGATTTGAAAGCTTTTAAGGATTACATGGGAAAATAGATTAATCAACAATTTTTCTCTGTTTGATCACGTAGAGATGAACGTGTAAGTGTGGATACTACATGCCATCTTTCTTGATTTTGCTGCTAAACCCATTATCTTTCCTTTAATATCATATCCCTTGTTAAGATATTTCTATTTCAGTTAATGTCGCCCTCATTTTGCTGGTGACTGTTCATGAAATCTTGAAGAAAGACTCAGGTTTTTTCCTACCTCTTTACCCTGATGATTTTTTTTTAACTCTTATATCCAGCCCTTCCTCTTAATTCCTCATGTAGCTAACCTCATTTCTGCACTGTTGAAATTACTTCTTATATCCCCATCTACTTCTGTCATGGTGCCCGCTTCCATTCGGCCCCCAGTTAGTTCACTGGCATTGGGTTACAAGATTAGCCTTCCTAAAACCTCACTTTGTTCACTTTCCTCCCTTCTAAGCTTCAGAAATCATAAATGGTCTCTCCTGTTTACCATCCAGAGGTATGGGGAGCTCCTTTCACTGCAGTTTAATCTTTTGAGATCATCAAGAGGATCTCACTGATGCTAATTAGCAGGGCTGTCCTTTTCCCTTGTTGGGTGGGGGGAGTGGCGCAGAGGCTGTGCCTACAAGGCTGGATTGATGGAAGAGGTATTATTCTCTTCCTTGTTGGCACTAACAAGAGAGAAGTATGGTAATGACGTTCGCCTTGGAGTTCTATTAAGGAAATCTTTGAGGTCTACTGGAAGATTTGAGTCTTCTTGTTAAAGGCCTACAGGATGAGTATGGACTCTTCTATTGTTTATGACCTTTGACAAGCTGGCACCTGTCATCCTCCCCAAGCTTTTTTTTTCCATTAATCATGTATAGGAGACTCCTGCTGCAGCCAAAGTGTTCTTTTTGTTTTCTGAATACAGACATCCCCACTTCCACACCATTGATTATGATGGCTAGGATGGCCCTTCTCCTATAAACCACACACTATTCCAGTATTACCCCCCAAACCTTTCTTTGTGATCACCACCACCATAAATACTTATCGTCTGAACTTCGGAAATTTAACACCCTTTGCTTCCTCATATAATTTTTGTTTATTCAGTAAAAATTTACTGAGGGCCTATTATGTCTCAAGCAATATGCTGAGGATTCAAATGAAAAAGACCCTTTACTTGTTTTTAGGAGTTTACATTTTAGCTAGGGAAACAAATATGTCAGCACGAACAGTGGAAGGAGATGGTGTGGGATTCAGAAGAGACAAGTAAACTAATGTGGGAGAGGGAAAGGGTAGCCAGGGAAGGTTTTCTATAGGAAAGCAATTTTCAGAACTAAAATCTCCCAACATGGGACGCATGGGTGTCTTCATTGGTTAAGCATGTGCTTTCGGCTGAGGTCATGATCCCAACGTCCTGGGATCAAGTCCCTCATTGGGCTCCTTGCTCAACGGGGAGCCTTCTTCTCCTTCTGCCTTCCACTTCCCCTGCTTGTGTGCTCTCTCTCTCTGACAAATAAATAAATAAAATCTTTAAAAAATCTCCCAATATTTTGTGGCAGTTATGTTTTGATCCATATCCTTTTAATATTTAAAGCTTTTTTTTCCCTTGTTCTTAAATGTTAACTTTTGTAAATATTTATATCCCTAATGGTTGTGGCAACTAGATGCTTACTATCTCCTTAATAATGGTTTTCCAAATGTTGGACCAAGAAACAGCTCTCGGGGTGCCTGGGTGGCTCAGTTGGTTAAGCGACTGCCTTGGGCTCAGGTTATGATCCTGGAGTCTAGGCTTGAGTCCCCCTGCTCAGCAGGGAGTCTGCTTCTCCCTCTGACCCTCCCCCCTCTCGTGTGCTCTCTCTCCCTCAAATAAATTAATAAAATCTTAAAAAAAAAAAACACCTCTCAGCTCTCCCTTCAGACAAAATAAACCTAAGTTCCTTGCAGCTGCTACAAGCTCTGTTACTTATTATTCAAAATTTTTATACTGTTGAGTCTAAAAGAGTGCACTGATTGAAAAACCAGATTCCTGGGATTTTGTTATAACCAGATTGTGATTCAGTGCAGTAGGGTGAGGCCTGAAGTCCTGTATTTTTAAAAAGCTTCCTGGTGATGCTGAAGCTGCTCATAGATTGAGCATGTTTTGAGTAACAGGGTTTTAGAGGCTGTAAAGAGATAAAGAATTAACGATAAAAAACAAGTGAAGGTACGTTTTCTTTTATTTATATGGATGTATCCTGCAGTCTCTCTATCCCGTTAACTTTATTTACTCTAGCTAATTTAAATCACATAATTACCCAGCTGGGTTGGGCTCCTGTCCCTGCACCCAGAGACAGTGAATCTTGCCTGTGATCTGACTAGGAAGCTTCCGCTCTCCACCCCCAACTCCTCCCTGGGGAGTGAGTCTCCTCCATGTCATGGAGCTATGATCAGGTGCGCACCCACCTACTTGATGCTGTGATATGATTCCCCGAGGCCCTCCAGCTACTGAATAATAAAGAACCCCTGTCTTTGGAAGTGGGAGGTGTTCCTTTTGGCATTCTGCCTTCATCAAACTGGTTTGTATAACAGTTGAGTTCCAGGAATGGCATCTGAGGCTGTCTGTATCCTACAATGTGTAATCAGGAACTGGCAGAGAATTCAACTTTAGCTTTTAAGATTCCTGTTAGAAATTTTCATAACTTGTAGGAGCCTTGGCAGTTGAGTGACCTGCCCTTGACCCGTAAAGGGACCTGCCAGGGTGAAATGCAGCTGTCTCTTTATTCTGAGTGTTTCCCCCTGATGATTTTCTGTGAATCTTTTACTGACTCTTCTATTCTGCAGATATTCTTTTGGACTGCAGACAGGAAAGCAGTTGCTGCAGATAATGTGTTCCTGAGTCTTTACAACCAAAGTTAGAAAGAATTATTTTTGTTGTCTTCCTGGGGAACTTTGCTATGGAATTCCCCCCCACAGACTGGATTGCAACAGTGGCTCTTAGATTGAAGAGATCTGTCTCAGTACAAAGTGGGAAATGTTGATGTCAGGCTGGCGGGTTGGAGCTGGTAAAAATGGCCTGGTACGGTGATTTTCAAACTTCCAACATGTATCCCCTAGGGGCGCTGCACCCCTAGAGTTTCTGATTCAGCAGGTCTGGATCAGAGCCTGAGAATTTTTAACATCCTCGTCCCTTCCCATTTCTTATGATGTGGTTACATAAAAGGAACAGGGGATAATCAGGGAGGCTGGGCACATGTTCACAGTAGCACATGCGTTGTTTATTACCTCCCAATTCTGGTAGATTTGTTAGTTGCTTTAAAAAAAAAAGAAAAACAGACCCAGGGAAACACCACCTCTTCTAATGTTCCCATAGCCAGTGAGTGCCCTTTTGTGGTGACCTAGCCTACATACTTAGGAGACTTCGTGGTTCATAGAAGTAGAGACCTGATCTTTTCAAGGAAGAAGCTATGGAAGCATAGGATTAGGGCAGCTGGGAAAATGAATTTGGGTTTTTGACAGCTGAGATAGCGAAAGAGAAGGGGAAGTTTGGCTATTTCCATCTTGTGTTCACATCCCTTAGGTATACCTAGCTTACATCATAGGAATAAGATGGTTGATCCTGTGTGGGTTTTGGGGAGTATTCCTTGTTATTAAAGGTGACTTATGCGATACTCTCTACTGAAGCAGTTCTGGAGCATCCCAGGAGGGACACAATGATCTTGGTCTTGGTGAACTTCCTTCGGATGAGGAAGAAGACATGAACAGTTCTGACGAAGACGATGTCAGCTCTGACTCTAGTAAAGGGGACCCTGACCTGGGAGACAAACAGGTATATGCTGGTATTTAATTGTTTCTACTTTTGTGTTTGTTGGTCTCTCATAACATTTGGAAATAATATTTATCAGCATGATAGACACAAAATCCCCAGTTAGTTTTTTCTTAAAACTTATATTTTCTAATTTATATTTAGTTCTTGCTGTAATGTAGTATCTAAGATGTTATCACATTTCTAAATGCACATCACTTAGTTTATTTAGTAATTTTTTTTTTTTTTAGTAATTTTTTGAGAAATTATTTTTGTCACTGTCCTTTGGTTTTCCTTTTGATAACAGAAATCCCCTCTCAGGATTGTTCCTTGTATTGCTAGCAATTCTACTTGAAAGAAAGGAATTTAGATGCATTTCAGACTTAATGAAATCTTTTTAGAGATAGAATAAAGACTGCGATTAATAACATAGCGGGATTTCCTTTGAAGTGATTCAGTATTTGTATTTTCAGTAAACATAAAACAAGATTGGCCACATGTTGATAATTATTTAAGATATGTCTATACATGGAGGTTCATTATATTGTTTCTCTAGTTTGACAGGAATGCTTCATTATAAATATATATTTTTTGAATAAAGACATCATTACAAAGGAAAAAATAGTATATTAACAATAACCCCAAGATGTGTTGGAACATTACAGCAAGACAGAATTTGAAAGGATCCACATAGCAAGCTTATCAAACCATAGAAGAGAAAATCCATGTCACCTAACTTCTATGCCGTAACTTACCAACCAGTTGTTGCCTGTTTAATATATTTTTGCTTTGTTTAAATTTATTTCAGCCTTAAATGAGTGGCATAAGTTGTGTAATTGTCTGGATTTAAATCCCAGCTCCACCACATATGAGCTGGGTGAGGAACTTTGGGCAAATTATTTAATATCTTTAAGCTAAAGAGCTTCCATTTTATGAAGAAAAGAATTTATCTCAGAATTATGAGGACTAAATGATTTGATTTGTGTAAAGCCTTAGAACACTGTTCAGTACATCGTAATAACTTAATGATTATTTGTTTGCTTCTTGTAAGACTTCATGCTGTAAAGTATTGAATCATAGAGTTGGGAGTAACCACTAGAAATTATTTAGCCTTAAGGCAGGTGAGTTTGTAAGATACCTAAGACAGACAAGTGACTGTTCTTAAAGGCTCACAGTATCCTTCAGCAGCGTGTGGGTTTTACTTTGACTATTAAGTAATTCCTCTGGTGTTTTACTGCTATCTGCCATCTCTGATTTGAAAACTTATTTTCCTTGTTGCTTCTTCACAGATGCTACAAGTATTTGTAAAATACTATTTCCCAGATATATACCAGATGTAAGAAGTATGTACTAGACATAAAGCAGTGTTCGAGGTTTTTGCTCTTGAACAGCTTACATCCTAATGGGACAAGAGGATATTCATTAGAATAGTGAGAACTTCAGATTGTTACATGCTGCGAAGGGAATAAAACAGAACAATGTGCTAGAAACTGAGGAGTCTACTTAGGATAAAAGCCTCTAAGAAAGTGATATTAGACTGAGAAATAAATGACTGGAAAGAGCCAAAGCCTATAGGGTTTGGGGAAGAGGCTTCCAGTGGTCTTCCTCTCTAAGGGCCATAATTAAATCAACCTTTACTGTCTTAGATAAGCTGCAAGGTCTTTTTCTAACAAGTACTGTTTCCTATTGTTTGGGTCTGTTCGTTTCTCTTGTTCAAACCCTTTCTGATTTCCCCCCATGCCTCTTGAAGTATGGCACCAAAAGTGGTGTCCACATTCTACTAGGGGTCTCACTGGCATATGGTATAAAGGAACGACTTCTCTCTAACCCTTTTGCGTTATGCATCTTCTCAACACATCCTGTCAAAACACTGCCTCGTTGACGTTTTGTGGTCATTGGAGACTTCCAGAGTTCCTTCCTCTGTATTTATACCGGCCTTTCCTTTCCCTTCTGGTATTTATATTATTGGTTTTTGTCTTTAGTTGTGCCACCCACTGCAGTATCTCTGTTAAATATTTTTCTGTTTTTATTTTTATTTTATTTTATTTTTATTTATTTGAGAAAGAGTGAGAGAGATTGATAACATGAGTGGGGTAGAGGAGCAAAGGGAGAAGAAGACTCCCCACTGACCAGGGAGCCTGATTCGGGGCTCGATCCCGGGACTCCAGGATCATGACCTGAGCCGAAGGCAAAATAGGCATCCCTATTTTTCTGGGGTTTTTTGTTTGTTTGTTTGTTCTGTTTTAAAGATTTTACTTATTAGAGCGGGGGAGAGAGAAAGCAGGGGGAGGGGCAGACCTAAACAGGGAGCCTGATGCTGGGCTCAATCCCTGGGATCATGACTTGAACTGAAGGCAGACGCTTAACTGACTGAGCCACCAAGGCACCCCTATTTTTCTGTTTTTAAAATGAGATTATTTCTTTTTTTTTTTGAAGATTTTATTTATTTATTTGACAGAGAGAGACACAATGAGAGAGGGAACACAAGCAGGGGGAGTGGGAGAGGGAGAAGCAGGCTTCCCACTGAGCCCGATGCAGGGCTCGATCCCAGGACCTTGGGATCATGACCTGAGCCGAAGACAGACGCTTAATGACTGATCCACCCAGGTGCCCCAAAATGAGATTATTTCTTCATTTAATCATCAACATTTAATATTTTTATACCTGATTGTAGTGTATTAATAATTTCCCTCTTTTAGAGCTGTTGGCCATCCTGATGAGCTTACTCTGTTCACCTGAGACAGCAGTGGCAATAATTAAAAGAGCTAACTCTCCCTTTCTAGACGGTTGCTGATCCATTTAAGCATAGCCTGGTGAATGCTTTTCTCTTAAGTAACTTGCTTTCAAAGAGGTTAAGAAGAACATGGTCTTGGGGTGCCTGGGTGGCTCGTCTGCCTTCGGCTCAGGTCATGATCTCAGGGTCCTGGGGTCGAGCCCCATATCAGTTCCCTGCTCAGTGAGGAGTCTGCTTCTCCCTCTCCCTCTCCTCCTCCCCCTACTCGTGCTTGCTCACTGTCTCTCTTTCTCTTTCTCAAATAAATAAATAAAATCTTTAAAAAGAAGAACAACAACAACAACAATGCAGTCTTTGAGGCTGGATTGCCTGGGTTCTTATCATTTACTAACTATGTAATCTTGGGCAATTTACTTAACATCTTTGTGCCTTAGCTTCCCCATCTGTAAAAAGAGGAGGGAGTAGGGTAGACACTTGTTTTTCTTTTTTCTTGTTTTTTTTTTTTTTTGACACTTGTTTTTGTTTTCTGAGATTATTGTGATGATCAAGGTTATACACTGTTTAAAACAGTTCTGACACAAATTGCTCAACAGATTTTATCTGTTATTATTGGCATATATAAAAAGAAGCAAGCAAAATCTTTAGTATCTCCAGTCATTCCTTGTATAACAAAATATAGTTTCAAGCTTACCTTTTCTTATCTTTGATGAATAAATCTAAAACGTATTTACATGAAAGGTAATATTGTGTTCTCACAAAAACATGAAACTTGACATCCTAAGACCTGTGGTTCAGTCCCGGCTCTGACACTTACCAAGCATATGACCTTGGTCAAATAATTATTTTAAGTCAATTACTTTATTTACACCAATCTCATTTCACAATAGATTTCAAGTAACAACAAAAAAATATAATACAAAAAGTCAAAATATGTAGTTAAAGAAATCAAGGGGTTAATAAATTGTGCTGGGGCTATTGGACATCCACATGCCAAAGAATAAAGTAGACGTCTTCCTTTTATCTTACACAAAAATTAACTCAAATGGATTGTAGACATAGTATAGGAGCTGAACAAAATAAAGGGATAACTCTTCACGACCTTGGGTAGTCAGAAGCTTCATTGATGCAACAACAAAAGTATAAGTGATGGGAGGGAAAAATAGCCACATTGGACATCATCAAAATTAAAAACTTCTGTGCTGCATATAGTACCATCAAGAAAATGAAAAGATAACTCAGGAGGAGAAAATATTGGCAAACATCTCTGATGAAGGACTTATATCATAAATATATAAGGAACTCAATCAAGATAAAGAAATAACCCAATTTAAAAAATGGGGTAAGGGTGCTAAATGAGAAAAATATGCAGCCAAGAATACTTTATCCAGCTAGGATGTCATTCAAAATAGAAGGAGTGATAAAAAGCTTCCAGGACAAACAGAAACTAAAAGAATTTGTGCTCACCAAACCAGCCCTACAAGAAATATTCAAAGGGGTCCTGTAAGTAAAGAGAGTAGTAGTACAGACCAGAAAGGAACACAGACAAATATACAGTAACAGTCACCTTACAGGCAATACAGTGGCACTAAATTCATATATTTCAATAGTTTCCCTGAATGTAAATGGGCTAAATGCCCCAGTCAAAAGACACAGGGTATCAGATTGGATAAAAAAGCTAGACCCATCAATATGCTGTCTGCAAGAGACTCGTTTTAGACCCAAAGACACCTCCAGATTGAAAGTGACGGAGTGGAAAACCATTTATCATGCTAATGGACATCAAAAGAAAGCTGGGGTGGCAATCCTTTTATCAGACAAATTAGATTTGAAACCAAAGACTGTAATAAGAGATGAGGAAGGACACTATATCATAATTAAAGGGTCTATCCAACAAGAAGATCTAACAATTGTAAATATTTATGCCCCTAACGTGGGAGCAGCCAATTAATAACAAAATCAAACACATCGACAATAATATAATACTAGTAGGGGACTAAATTTAACGCTCCCCTCACTGCAATTGACAGATTATCTAAGCAGATGATCAACAGGGAAATAAAGGCTTTGAATGACACACTGGAACAGATGTACTTCACAGATATATTCAGAACATTCCATCCTAAAGCAACAGAATACATATTCTTCTCAAGTGCACCTGGAACATTTTTCAGAATAGATCACATCCTGGGTCACAAATCAGGTCTCAACCAGTACCCAAATATTGGGATCATTCCCTGCATACTTTCTGACCACAATGCTTTGAAACTGGAACTCAATCACAAGAGAAAAG